GGGAGGGGTGGAGGGACCCGGGGACCATTGAGGGACCCCAGGGAGGGGTGGGGGGACCCCAGCGATGGAGGAGGGACCCCAGGGAGGGGTGGGCGGACCCGGGGACCATTGGGGGACCCCAGAGAGGGACACAGGTGGGAGGGGGTACACGGCGGTGGGGAGGGACCCTAGTGAGGGAGGAGGGACCCAGTGAGGGGTGGGGGGACCTGGGGACCATTGGGGGACCCCAGGGAGGGGTGGGGGGACCTCAGGGGCAGAGGGGCCTCAGGGAGGGATTTAGGGGCTCAGAGAGGGGTGAGTGGGGGGAACCCAGGGACAGATTAGGGGACACAGGGAGGGGGGGAAGGACCCGGGGCTGGAAGGCAGAGCAGAGAGTGGAGCGGGGAGCCGGGAAGCAGGGTGTGATGTCGAGAGGGAAGGGGGTCCCCGGGGGGGCTGTGGGGGTGTCCCCCGTCCCCGCACTCACTGCGCACCGCGACGCGGAGCCGGGCGCTGCTCTTCCGCACGGAACCGTCCCCGGAGCGCACCTCGCACGTGTAACCCCCCGAGTGGGAGACCCCCACGGCGGGCACGTGGAACTGGGGGGACCCCTGCGGGCCCCCCACCAGCACCCCGTCCCGGTAGAAGAGGTGCAGGAGGCGGGCACGGGGCCGCAGGGGGCTGGGGGGGCTGAGGCACCGGAGGTTCAGGGGGGACCCCTCGGTGGGCTCGGAGGGACCCTCCAGCACCGGCACCGGGAAGAGCTCTGGGAAGGAGACAGAGGGTGGGGGGTTTGGTGAGCACGAGTCCGGTGGGGAGGGGTTCTGGGGGTGTCGGCTCCGGGCTCTGGGGGTGCTCACCGCGCACTGTCACTGTCACCTGCTCCGACACCTCGAACCTCATCCACTTGCCCCCGCAGTGGTACCGACCCCCGTGGTGCAGCTGCAGCGGGGGTAGGGACAGCTCCGTCCCCTTCAGGTCCTTCCCCTCGTGGTAGAACCGCACGTCGGTGATAAACTTGTTTCGGGCCCGGCAGCGCAGGGTCACGTTGTCCCCCTCCAGCAGCGGCCCCGCCGGGACCTGCAGCACCAGCCATTCTGCGGGACACGGGGGTCCCGTCGCACCGGGGGCCTCGGGGGGGTCCCATCGCCCCGGGGACCTCGGGGGGGAGGATGTTCCCATGGCACTGGGGGCACTGGCAGCAGGATGTGGCAGGGGTGCCCAGGGGTGCCCAGGGGTGTCCCTGGGCACACCAGAACGTCACACGAGGGGGGTGACACCCACGGAGCCCCCCCAGACACCCACTTCGTCCCCCCTCACCGTTTAACACGGGCACGGTGGGGCTGAACCCGGCGCCGTCTCTGTGACACTTGTAGGAGCCTTCCTTGGTGACAAGGACACTGTCGCGTCCCTTCTGCCCCCAGGGCCGCCCATTCCTGAACCAGGTGGTGTCCCCGGGGGTCCCCGAGCCCTGGCAGGTCAGGGTCACCTCGTCCCACAGCACCGCCGGCGTCCAGGGGGGATCCAGCAGGAGCTGGGTGGTCTGGGCGCCTGCGGGTGACAGGGGACACCAGCCTGCCAGGGCCACCACGGGGCTGGGGACAGCGGGGCGGGGGACACGCCATCCCCCCCCTCGAGGACTCACCAGCGAGGATCAGGGCCTGGGCTGGAAGGGAGAAGTGAGAGGGGCTGGGTGGGGGTGGCACCACGGGGACAGTGGGGGCTGTCCCCAAACTCTGCCCGTGGGGACACCGGTTCTCGTGGGAAAGTGATGGGGGACGGTCCCCAAGAGGTCCCTGGAGGGATCAGGGGACGTGTTTGTGCCACAAACCACATCCGGGTGGGGATGGGGACACTGGGGACACCCCGGGCTGAGGGGGGGGATGTGGGGACACAGCAG